CTAAGGCGCCAGCCACATACACCTAAGGTGGCGGGTTCGAATCCCCAGCCCGGACCCGCCAAACAACAATGACGGCTGCAACCAAAAAAAAAAAAAACAAAAGAATACTTTAGGGCGGTACCTGTGGCTCAAGGAGTAGGGCACTGGCCACATATACTGGGGGTGGCGGGTTCAAACCTGGCCCCGGCCAAAAAAAACCTGCAAAAGAAAAAAAAGAATGTATTCCAGGGCTCAGCGCCTATAGCTCCGTGAGTAGGGCGCTGCCCACATACACCAAAGTTGGCAGGTTCAAACCTGACCTGGGCCTGCTAAACAACAATGACAACTACAACAAAAAATAGCTGGGTATTTTGGCAGGCGCTTATAGTCTCAGCTACTTGGGAGGCTAAGGCAAGAGAATCACTTATGCCCAAGAGTTTGAGATTGCTGTGAGCTGTGATGCCGTGTACTCTGCCGAGGGTGACGTAGTGAGACTCTGTTTCAAAATAAATAAATAAATAAATGTGTATATATATATATATATATATATATTCCAGTATTAAACAGCAAATTTCAACAATGCAGAAACTGCAATTACTTTTGCACCAACCTAATACATTCATACCAGTAATGCATAAGGATTTCAGTTTTGTTTTTTTTGAGAATGAGTCTTACTTGGTCACCCTCAGTAGAGTGCTATGGCATCATAGCTCACAGCAATCTCAAACTCTTGGGCTCAAGCAATTCTCTTGCGTCAGCCTCCCAAGTATCTGGGACTACAGGTGCCCAACACAACAGGTGGCTGTTTTTACAGATGGGGTCTCACTTTTGCTCATTGTGGTCTCAAACCCATGAGCTTAAGCAATCCACCTGCCTCGGCCTCCCAGATTCAATTTTTTCACATCTCTGCCAACACTTTTTTTTTTTTTTTTGAGACAGATTCTCAAGCTGTTGCCCTGTGAGGAGTGCCATGGTGTCACAGCTCATAGCAATCTCAAAGTCTTGGGCTTAAGTGATTCTCTTGCCTCAGCCTCCCAAGTAGCTTGGACTACAGGTGCCCACCTCAATGCCCAGCTATTTTTTTTTGTTGTTGCAGTTGTTGTTTAGCAGGCCCAGGCTGGGTTTAAGCCTACCAGCCTTGGTGTATGTGGCCGGTGCCTTAACCACTGTGCTACACTTGCTGAGCCTCATTTTTGTTTTTTGTTTTTTGGCGGGGGCTGGATTTGAACCTGCTACCTCTGGCATGTGGGGCCTGCGCCCTACCCTGAGCCACAGGCACTGCCCTCATTTTTCTTTTTGTTTTGTTTTATAATAGCCATCTTAGTGACTATGGAGTGGTATCTATTGTGGTTTTGGCTTGCATTTCTAGAATCTTGGAAAATCCATATAGATAGTTTTTTTCTTTTTCTTTTTCTTTCTTTCTTTTTTTTTTTTTTTGAGATAGAGTCTCTGTCACCTTTGGAAGAGTGTCACAGAGTCATCATAGCTCACAGGAACCTCAAACTCTTAGGGTCAAGAGCCTCTTGCTTTGGCCTTCCCAAGTAGCTGGGACTACATATACCAGATTAATTTTTCTGTTTTTAGTAAAGGCAGGGTCTCACTCTTGCTCAGATTGGTCTTAAACTTCTGAGCTCAAGGGATCTTCTGAGGCTACCCTCAGCCTCCCAGAGTGCTAGGATTATTGTTGTGACTCACTACACTCAGTCAATAGTATTTTTTTTTTTTTTTCACTCTGAGACTAAAGGAGATCAACACGATTGAATGTAGACAGAGAGGTTTGCGGTGGGACTTCTGTGTACTCCAACATTAAAGGAATGGGAGATGAAGAACAGTTAGTAAAGTAGCAAAACCGGAAAGACAATGGTATCCTGGAAGCCAAGTAAAGAATGTGTTCAAGAAAGAGAGAACACATATCAAGTTCTACAAATAGATTAATTAAGAAGAGAACTGAAAATTGACCATTTGATTTAGCAACTTGGAAATCAATGATGACCTTTACAAGTATAATTTTAGTGGAGTGAAGAGCTTGTTCATAGTGAGTTCAGGAAAAAAGAGAAGCAGAAGAATTAAAGGTAGGCAGTATAGATAATTCTTATGATGAATTTTGTTGTAAAAGAGGTATGATTAAATAGGTAGTAGCTGGAGAAGGATGTGGGATCTGGATAAGAATTTTTTTTTTTTATGACAGACATTACAGAATGTGTGTTAATGAGATTGATCCAGGAGAGATGGAACCATTATTGATGTGGAAGGAGGAGGAGAGAATGGCTGAAATGGCTTGTAGTTTTGGGAAAACGTTCAGTTCCTAACAGCATTGTCCTTGGCCTCAAGGTTCTCTCAGCTATAGAGAAGGAAAGCAGGAAAATTGAAGAGATGGTAATTGTGACTGCTGTTGCTTTAGCCTTTGTAGAATTAGGTTTGAAGATCTTGATGGCAGCCTCTGGTCTTATTATGCCAAAGCACCTCAGCAGTGATTTTATGTAGAGTTTACTTCCAATACCTAGTACTCAGTAGGCCCTGCTTTTCTTGATGTTCTAAAAATCCAGATAAAAAAAGAAGAGGATTGGGCGGTGCCTGTGGCTCGAAGGGGTAGGGCGCCAGCCCCATATGCTGGAGGTGGTGGGTTCAAGCCCAGCCCCGGCTAAACACTGTAAAAAAAAAAAGAAGAAGAGGATTTGTCATTCCGTCTTTAGTCTTTCTTTTCCATCAGAAACATTTTGACCATGCCTATGAATGTGATTATGGCTGATCCTTGATATTAAGTTTATATTTTATCAAAGTACATGCCACACCTGTTCCACACAGAAAGCTGTGGTATGTAGGCAGGACAAAATGATACCAAAAATCTTTTCTGTTTTCCCTGCAGCATCACTTACCTCTGACAGGAGTGGTCAATAAAGAATTTTAACTATTTACATTCCCACTAGTTCTAGAGAAATTTGAATTTTCTTTCTTTCTTTTTTTGGAGATAGTCTCAGTCTGTTGGCCTGAGTAGAGTGCTTTGGCATCACAGCTCACAGCAACCTCAAAAGCTTAGGCTCAAGCGATCCTCTAGCCTCAGCCTCCTGAGTAGCTGAGACTACAAGTGCCCACCACAATGCCCAGCTAATTTTTCTATTTTTAGTAGAGATGGGAGCTTGCTCTTGCTCAGACTGGTCTTGAACTTTTGAGTTTAAGCAATCCACCCACCTCAGCCTCCCAAAGTGCTAGGATTACAGACATGAGCCATCTTGCCCAGCCTACTTCAGAACCTTAAATATTTAGAAGACACATCTGAGCAGATGTATAAACATGGAAAATACAGGTAATTTCATACTTTTGAATGTAGGTACTCAGAGAAAGCCTCCTCTCATAAAGAAGTCTGACCCATAAGCCTATGAGTCATACTTGTTGAACAAACTAAACAGAAGTCATCCCAAGACAAAATTCCAGATTGATCAGTTGGGCATTGCTAGAGAGCATTTTCTGACAACCCCCAAGTATTCCTTAAATTGTGTATCTAGTGTAGTCTTATTCTGTGTATGTTTTCACAGAAGGAATAAAAGTCCTAACTATTCGCACAGATTTGTTTTGTGATACGAGATCCAAAGGAGCTTGTAAATAATTTTTAGAATTGCTCTACCAGTTACCTTTTCACCCTAAGTAGGTCTGGAAGTCGTCCAACAAAAGAGCTTTTGCATGTTCATACGTTTCAAAATGAATCATCTTCCTTCCCTTTAGGGAGAAAAGGGCTCTGTGTGCTGTTTCTGGTGGAATTTCCATAAATGTCTCCTTCCAGTGCTTCACTTGAGTTGAAATAGGAGGATGTCTGATGTCTGAAGGAGACCTCTGAATCTCCCAACTCAACAGTTGCTTATGTTAAGAGGATGGTCAGTTCTGATTATTCTAGAAAAGTGCCGGGCATCCTTTTTCTCTGAAATTTCTCCTAATATAGGAAGCAAGCAATAGACTATATGATACTATGCTAAGGCTGCAGAAAGGTGAAGGTCTATTCTTGCTTGTGTGAAATGGGAATTATTATCAAGATATTGAAGTAAAATTTGGGACATCCTTTGATCTGAAAATTTACAAGTTGTCTACCTAGCCTGAACTTTTAATTTTTATATTTTACAGTTTCCAGACATCAGTCAAGAATCTGATTCTCCATTTGTTTTCATTTGCAAAAATCCCCAGGAAATGGTTGTGAAGTTTCCTCTTAAAGGAAATCCAAAAATCTGTAAGTTACGTTTTTGTTTTTTTTTTTTTTATTTAAAAGACTAGTCAGGTGCAGTAATGAGAAAGGGGGAAAGAGTAGAACAGGGAGTTTAGTCAGTAATTGACTATGAACAACAAATTGAAGTAACTCGCTATCTTTTAGCCAGCCTGTCAGTCTTTTTTTTTTGAGACTGAGTCTCACTTTGTTGCCCTCAGTAGAGTGCTATGGTATCACAGTTCACAGCAACCTCAAACTCTTGGGCTCAAGCGATTCTCTTACCTCAGCCTCCCAAGTAGCTGGGGCTACAGGTGACTGCCATAAGGTCCGGCTATTTTTAGAGACAGGGTCTCGCTTTGGCTCAGCCTGGTGTCAAACCTGTGAGCTCAGGCAGCCCACCCGCCTCAGCCTTCCAGAGTGCTAGGATCAGAAACATGAGCTACCATGCCCAGCCATCAGTCATAATCTTTGCTGGTCTAATTTTCTTTAATTGTTTTGTCTTTCATCTCAGTAGTATAATTTTTTTTTTTTTTTTTTTTTG